TTGCACCTTGGGAAGGTTGCGGTGATGAAGAGGAGGCAGCGTGCACCCCGAGGTTCAGTCGGCCAAGGCCTTGCTGTGGAAGCTGCGTTCGGAGGCCCCGGGTGGCGGGTTGTGAAGGTGGAGACCGCGGGTCAGGAACAAGGTTCTCGAAGCTGAGAAAGTGAGGAAGCAGAGCCCCCAGGAGGAACTAGCCCTGCAGCACCTCGATTTCAGCCCTTGTTTAAAATTGAGGGATAGTAAATATGTGTTGCTTTAAGGCACTAAATTTGGGGCAATTTGTTATAGCAGCAACAGGGAATGAATAATGCTGACCTCAGCCCACCTTCCAGGCACCATTGCGCGAGCTCCCTGCTGTCCTTTGTGGCCAGAGACACTCCCTGGCACCTGTTGTTTTGTCGTCTGAGGTTTGAGTTCAGTGTCTGCCAGTGCTCTCTTACTGTCTTCTAGTTCTATGTTTTTCTCAAATCCTTACTTCTTTCTTTATTTCCATCTCCTTTTGTTTTGGACACAGTCCATTTTCCCCTCCCGAAATTCCTTTTATTTTAAAGAAATGAGTTTTTTTCTTTTCCTCTTACAATTTCCCCAGTTCCTGGGCTGATCCTGAGCTTTCCTGGAGAGGGGGAGAGAGAGAGAGAGAGAGAGAGAGAGAGAGAGAGAGAGAGAGAGAGAGAGAGAGTGTGTGTGTGTGTGTGTGTGTGTGTGTGTGTGTGGCTTGGGGCCAGGATTGTGATGCTTTCCTCACTCTGGAGCTGGTTTTCACTAAGCTGTCCTTGTGAGGCTGCCACAGGGATCGGTCCATGTTTTTGGCTTCCACACTGCGGACAGCCTGGTGTGGCTCCAGCTGCTCTCGAGCGCACACAGGTGTCCTGGAGAACTAGCATCTGTCTATTTCTCTGACATGGCTCTCAGGAGGCAGAGCAGGGGAGAGGTAATTTCCACATTGCTGACAGCAGGTGTTTCTTGCTCTCTTCCTTTCAGTATAACCAGCCCACAGAGGTCGTTGTGACTTTTGTTTTAATGTCGCAGAATTTGACATTTGATGATTCCCTTCTTCCAGAGGTTCCTGCTTCTGTTGGTTGTTTCTCTGGCCCCTTTTCCTGTACTTTTGGCTGGACTTGCAAGCGACCCTAGCTGTGTTTCCTAAATGCTGACTGGCACCCCTCTGCACCCTCCGGGTCCTCATCCTTCCACGTTTGGGTCTCTCTGTGCTGTCGCTGGACCTCTGCCTGCCGGTGGCTCACGTGCCCCTTCATCGCCATCGCTCTCTGAGCCCCAAGCATGTCCACCTCTGTCCCCTGAGCATCTCTCCTCGGATGTCTTGGGGAGCCCCGTTCTGTGCACCCCGCAGTGTCCCTTGCCCCAGGAATACCAAGGCCATGCCTGTGGGTATTGTCTTTGTGGTTACACTCACCCCACACACCGACCTCAAGGCTGTCAGTTCTTTGGCTCTGTGCGTTTCCACTTATCTCCTTCTCTGTGTGCCTCACAGGTCTACATCCTGGTGCAAAGCTTCTCTCTCCGGAGACACACACTTTTATGTGACTCTTCTGTCCACTCTCATAACCCACGGTGGCCACTGGTGGCTCTGCTAGTCCTCAGGAGAGCTGCGTTCTGTTAGGGTCCCGGCCCCACCTCCTCCACAGAGCCAGGCCCAGTGTTGCTTGATTCCGGTGAATATGGTTGTGAGGCCAAACCGCATCTGTTCTACAAAAGAAAAAACCTTATTTCTCAAATTGATTTACTTAATCTACCTTTTAAAAAGTGTTGCCAGTATTTGGTATATCCTTTCTTAAAACTATTTCAAGGACTTTTAAGAAAATAAAATGGAAAACTAGCATCTTACCAAACAATAAGTATTTACACTGTGCAAGTTTATTTCCCAATTCTTATGTATCTCTTAGAAGGAGAGATGTCTGTTATTTTAGAGAAGCACCCTATGGTATAGGCATTAATGCATTTTTCATTATTGGAATTTGTCTATTGCCTCATACCCTAAAAGCTTAAGTGCATTCAAGATGTGTGTGTGCGTGTGTGTGTGCGCGTGTGTGAGCGCATGTGTGTGCACGTGCACACATTCCTGTGCAGATGTAGAGCAGAGAGGAAGATGAACACAGACAGCAAATAAAAACAAGCACGTACTGAGCTTCTTTAGTGGGAAAATTGCCAAAAACAGATGATAAAGTGTCAAAAGAAAATAGGAAGTAAAGATTTAGGAAATACATTTAAATTATTTCAAAAGAAATCTTAGTAAATAGCTATTTCCAGACAGGATATAAACAAATACTTTTAGAAATATATGCTTTTCTTCACTCTAAGAGTATGTACTGCCTCGAGATTGAATGATCATGTTTGCTTTCCCTGAATTCTGGTAACTCGGTAGCAAAGATGCTTTTAAAAGAACAGCTGAATACTTGTGACTCGTTACCGCAGCACATAATATCATTTTGAATTATTTTCTGTTTAAAGTTGAATTGGTTAATTTAATAAATATTTGCTGCACATCCACTGTGAGCTCATCACCATTTTAAGCACTGGGGAAATAGCAGAGAACCAACATAAAAAGTCCCTGAGCTCAGGGCAGCGAAAACTATGCTGCACATCACTTTAAGGTTAGGGGAAGAAGCCCTGTTTGACCAGAATATCAGCTCGGTAGGCGGAGCCCTGAAGCAGTCACCTGCAATGCATCAGTTTGTATTTTACAATAAGTAATCATCACTAATTTAGTGCTTCCTCATGCTTTTCAGCGCTCAATACTTAAAACTGCTTTAGAGACATCATCTCATTTAAATAAAATTAAAGACTGTTATTACAGTCTCTTTACAGAAGTTACCTTGCAAGCAAACAAGTGAAGATGACTCTGCCTTTTGTTTCAGTGAGGGAGGCACTATTTCGCTCACTAACTGCTATCATCCAGTACAGCCTGGGGAAGTTTGCACTTGGGCTCAAAGCCCTTCTTTGGGTTCAAGGTGAAGCGGGGGTGTCCAGATCTGCCCGCAGCAGGGGAGGGTGATGGGGGGCCCTTTGGAGTGAGCACAGCCCAGAGACACTCCGAGGAGCGTGGGTTCTCCACACAGTCGCCCAGCGCCCAGCCCTCCTCCCTCTGCTTCTGGGTAACCCTCCAGAGGAAATGAAATCATTGCCCTGAAAAGACACTCCCAGGCCCCCGCTGGTTGCAGTGCTAGTCACCTAAGTGCCCCATGTCATACAAATGACATGGACGATGCATAGTGCAATCTCTGGCCCTACAAGAGACGGAAACCCTCTCCTGTGTCACAACGTGGACGAACCTGGAAGACATGATGTTAATGTTCAATCAGCTCAGTGCCGAAGGACAACTCTCACTTGATATCTTATATGTGAAATCTAAAACTGCTGACCTCTAGAAGAGTGGAGTAGAATGGTAGTTACTGGAGGCTTAGGGCTGGGGACTGAGGCAATGTCAGTTAAAGATGCACATTTCGGTCAGACAGGAGAAATGTGCAAAGAGATCTATTGCTCAACGTGGTGACTAAGATAACAAAATTGGGTGCTCTTGAAAAGTGCTTAGAAACGAGATTTGAAGCGTTCTTCCTACAAAAATAATGTTAATCAACTTGATCCACAGTGCCTATCCATGTATAAACAGTAAATATATGTAACTTGAACTGTCCATTAAAAATAAAACAATAAGTCTCATTTGGGAGTAGTTCAGTCATGACTGGTATGCTTGGGTACCCTGCTTGGCCCCGGCAGTTGTACGTAAGGGATGTGAGAGCGTTGGCAGCCCCACACCCTGCTGTGCTCACTGGCAAGAGTCCTGGACACACTGTCTTTAAAGTCAACCCCAGGAAGAGCTGTTCTTTGCTGGAGCTTTGGGAATCTGAATTCTGTTATTGCCTTTGTTTCATCTTTGCTATGACCAAGGTAAAATCTGGACACACATGTGGCTCACCATTACCGATTATTCAGGAACCCTTTAAACGCGATTAAACGGGGAGACGGAGGTTTTGCAAAAGGGAAGGGGAGCAAGAGATGGAGGCGGAGGGGAAGACAGCAAGGGGAAGGGGATGAAAACAGAACGAAGATGTGTTACATCCACAGGCCGACTCCCCATGATGACCGTAATCACTGTGTACTGCAATCATGCACTCATACTTAAAAGAGAGGGAAAAACCATGTGATTTTAGATGACCACAGCTTCATTTTACCACTTCTCGAATCTTCTACTCATTTTGCACCCTTTTGCTTATACCTACCAGAATCGCGCAGTCTCTAGGGTCAAGGTTCACCTTACCCGCAGTGTTTACAGCTGTGAGGAATCCAGGGAGCTCACACTGTGAATTCACAGGGAAGGCGTTGTTTACACGCTCGTCATGGGTGTTGGCGCCCAGGAGCACCCAGGCTCATCCTGGCTCGCCCAAGGGTACCCACTGCTTGTTCATTCAGTCTGGCTGCTGTTTTTCTGGGCGTCCTCCATGCAGCTGTGAGTGTGGCATCTTTCTGCTCCGTCTCAAGTGACTTCCAGGGGTGATGGAGGAGGATGAGTGTGCTGACCAGAAACCACCTGAACTCAAATACTATCGGCCCCTGCCCTTGGCCAGTAAGGATACTTGGTGCCCTTCATTCTGCTAAGCTCTGCTCCTCCTGGGGCTCACTTCTTCCTGATACCTTTTGCTGAGCTCTTCATCTTCACATAACCATTTCCTCCTCTAGAAGGACCAGTGAAGACACTCTGCTAATGTGTCACAAAAATCGTGTCATTCTTTCGCCCGGACCAGCCTTTATTATGAAACAAGTCAAATGTAGAACAGTGGAAGAAAACCCAGATTCGCACGGAGCGAAACAGTTGTGCAGGTCAACATATGCGATACGTGATCGCTGAGAATTCCAGTGAGGCACTGTGGTTTTTCCTTCATCTTCTTTGTCTTTATTTTCAGTGCCAGGCTTGGCTGAGTGACAAGGAAAAGGTGAAAACCACTCTTCTCGGTTTCTTTACTTATAAGCACTTCTCTTCTCTGTAGGATCATACACATTTGTACCATGGCTTCTCAGCTTTAAAAGAGGACGAGCCCTGGAGGAGAAAGAGAATAAAATAGTGGTGAAGGAGCCCGGTTACTTCTTCATCTATGGTCAGGTAGGCTCCCGTTGTAATTGTGCCTTCACCCCGAGCGCCTCCGCTGCCGTGCACGCTCCTGACGATGCTCTTTGGTTTGTTCCCCAGGTTTTATACACTGATAACACTTTTGCCATGGGACACCTAATACAGAGGAAGAAAGTCCACGTCTTTGGGGACGAGCTGAGTCTGGTGACTCTGTTCCGCTGTATTCAGAATATGCCTGAGACACTACCCAATAATTCCTGTTATTCCGCGGGTAAATACCCCTTCTCAGATCTGCTTGCTGGGGGCTGCAGATGGTATGTGCCGGAAAGTGCGAGCTGCACAGTGATGACAGAAGGAGGATGGTGGCCTGAAGTTTGACTCGAAAGCCACGCTTCGGGGTCCTGTGTGGGTTTTGCTCATCTCGAGCAACGAGCTAGTGTCTGTTTCAACCATGTTTTTATCCATTCAGAAAGGGGAGTAACTGCCTTGAATTCCTCCTCGTGGACAATTCTCTGGCGTATTTCCCTTCCGTCTTTGACAACCATCACCATCTTCCATTCTTTCCCGCCCACTCATTTAATCTGACCATTGGGGGGTGGGGGGAGGATCTGAGAGCGAGGCCGGTGACATGATTGAGTTGCACAGCTCTTAGGGTTATAAACCGGCAGGCCTGGCTCCGTGGTGTGAGCCATCAAAACCCCACCGGCGGCGGGAGACATGACCGGGATGCCCTGGAGCAGGGAAGTGTCACATGGCTCCTGGCTGGCACGTGCGTGTGTGCAAGTGTGCACTTGCGTGTGCAAGTGACTTGGGGTGGAGAGATTAGGAGCAACCCTGCCTTTGGGCTCAAGCAGAGTAAAGGAATTTAATAGTCTGTTGACGCCAGGCTGCGGGGCTATGGCTGCTGGAGTTCTCTTCACGAGGGATGAGGTGAAGGGAATAATTTCAAGTCAATCAAGGCTGATCCTGGAAAATACAGTAGACTGAACATGCCAGAAGAACATATTTTTCACCTTGAACTTTTTTTTTTTTTTGTCTCTGGTGGTTTTGACAAATGTCTTCAAAAGTTTCAGGAGTGCCTTCAATCTCAGTTACAGGAGGCAGCATGGAACGCCGGGGCTTGGAGACACTTTTTAAGTATCTCGTAGTTTGTAAACAAGAACCCTGTGAATCAGTTAGAAACCAAGGAAAGTAGTTAACGCAAACAGAGGTGATGTCATACTGGATCTGAAACCCTAAAATGACTTCGCTGGAGGATGAGGAAGTCTGACACATTGGAATTCCCTGGTTTTCATAAAAAACCTTTCTCTGTGGCCTGTGGTGATCAGCAGTTTGATATTGCAAAATATTTGTAAATGGTGAGGCTGTACAAATTTATTATTATTAATATGCAGTGGTGCTCAGTGCTTTATGACTAACTTAAACATAAATTTTTCTGGTCCTCTGCTCCTCTCCCGTTTACTTTCTGAGTATGAGAGCACTTGGCCGAAGTTCTTAGGTGCCTTACTTTTCAAGAATAATTACTTTGATTTCACAGATATTACTCAATAATTATAACTCAATGGTATGCATGCGAAGCATTCTCCAAGAAGCTTCTGGCTTGCAGTTTTAATCTACTTTAGGTCCGATTCGTTCAAAGGCACTAAAAATGACCTAAGAATCCGTTAATATAAAAAATACTTGAAATTTTTAAATAGTGAATTTTAGAAGCCCAGCAGGATACTAAGGGACCACTTTTATATCTAAAGTTAAATACTACTCGTTTTTCCATTAATAAATTAGATATGGTTATTGTGAAAAGAAGTTACAGCTGAGACTGGCGTCTGGAATCATTGAAACAGTGACAGTTCAAACTTTACCCATTTTGTTTGTTGGCTTCTTCATTTCTTCTCCACCCCCACCTTCCTCTTTTTCTACTTCGCATTTTTCTTTTGGAGTGTGGCCAACAATTACAGATACAGTAAAAGTCATTTGTGAATTGTACTCTGTTCCTTAACTTCACAGAATGCACCATTGAACATCAGGGACACACAGATTTATCAGTCATTTGCAAGGAGCTAACTGCTTTGTTGGTTTTGATTATAAAAACAAACATAGTCATTTTTAAAAATCTAAAATAAGTCATCTAAATGACCCTTAAACTCATAGTTGGGAATCTAGAGAAAAGCAATATTAAAATGTGCTTTGTTAGTGAAGTGTTTGAATTTCTTTCTCTCTCTGACTTTTTGCTTTTTCATTTATACTTCTAATTTGCATATTTAAAAGTATAATTTGGACTGTTTGGTAAACATAAATGTGTGTGATTGTTTGCTTTTCTTATTGAGCATTAAAGGTTTCCTTTGTTAATAAGATTCAGCAAACCTCTTGAATTAGTCTATCAAGGGACATGCTCTAATTTGCTTAACTTAACTCTTCAATTTGATATTTGGCTCTTTTACAGCATATTTATTTTGTGAAGAGTGCATGCATAATCCATTGTATCTGTTGTGTTTCCTGTTTATTTGCTTTTATTCCACGTCACGTCTTGCCTTGCCGTGTTCGAGGCTGATGGATTTGTAACTGGCTCAGACGTCTACTGACCCACCCTCTGCCATGAATGTCTGTGTTAACGTTCGTTCCAAGGCACAACCGTCTTCTTTAAGGTTGTTGTCACCTTCCGTTTTCCTCTGAACCACCACTGAAAGCGCTTGTTGACTCTTCTTTGCCAGGCATCGCGAAGCTGGAAGAGGGAGATGAGATCCAGCTGGCAATCCCACGGGAGGACGCGCAGATCTCTCGCGACGGGGACGGCACGTTTTTCGGCGCCCTGAAGCTGCTGTGACCCAAGCATGCCACAGTGCTCACTCCTCCCTTCCCTCTCCCTGGACCTCTACGGAGAACACTTAACTGAAAATACCAAAAGGGGAAAAAAGTCCTCACCATAGACTTTTCTTGAGCTGTTTGTTTTGGTTTGCAGAATCTGGTCCAAAACAGGAAATTTAACAGACAACCACAGCCGAAGCATGTCATGTGACTTACAAGAATCCGAAAGATAGAACCAGAAAGCCTGTCATGATGATCCTGCATCCAGCAGTGTGATTGTCGTGTCTCTTTTGGGGAAAGAGCGTAGTTCGGAGGGCAGTGATGTGTTTTTCAAAGGTGACAGTGCCATACTCTGAGACATGTACCCGTGTCTGTGGGGCATTCAGACATTTGTGAGAAATCTCAGGATTCCTGTTCCCTTTTCGTGCTAAATGTGCCCCTCTCCTTTTTACCTACTATCATGACAAGTTAAAAAAAATCTACAAATCTTGTATTAGGTACATGAAAAATACACATTTATGTAGTGGTTAAAAGTTAATTTTAAAATTCTAAATTCAAATATTATACAAGTGGACTGAAAATAAGATATGAGTACTATTTAAGCCTCTCTGGTTTAGTTCAAGTTGTTGATTTTTAATCAATAATAATAACTGATATGAGCTGTTTTTCACAGTAAGGTAAGAGTTTCCTCATTTTTATATGCGTATATAGTTTCCTATAGTTTCAGTTGCTTCAGGAATTTTTCAGTGTAGGGTAATTCCAGTCTGTGCGTATGAATCATAATTAAAAATAACTAAAATTGCACTTACATAAAATCTCCACTGAAGTGAATGGGTAAATTTATGATAAAGTAATATAATTTCCTTTTATTTCCAGTTCTTCTGTTTCAAACTGCTGCTGTTATAGTGTATGTATCCCAGGCAACAAAAACAGTCAAGTTATTTGCTCTGCAGAAGTTGAAGTTTTACTGAAGTCCTTTGCAGTGCATGGGCTCTTTTTAAAGATGGTAACATCTCAAAAGACATCATCTTCATCTTCATTTTATAACCAGTCATACTTGAGAGTGTTGTAATACTTACCTTTTATAAGATCTGTTTCTCTTGCACTTTGTCTCGTTTTTATATCATTAATTAAGTTTTAATTTCATTAAGGAATTTACTTCATTAAGCAGTGATGAAACAACAGGCCTCAGCTGGCAGTTCGCTCCCTTACAATAGTTTTAAAGATACTTCTTTCAAAACAAAGAAAAGAACTCAAATTTCGGGCCTGAAATCAAACTCTGTTCACATGTATGATTCCTATAATGTTTGCATTCTGGATCAACTAAAATGTATTTAGCAATTTATTTTCTCTTATAACAGAATCAAAAAAGAGAAAGTGACAGGTGGAGAAGGGGCTTGGACGTTGGAGGAGAGGTCAGTGGCATTCCTAGAGTTGCTGCTAACTTAGATGGCCACGTGGAAAGAAACAGTGCCTCATGCCTCATCGCCTGACTCAGTTTCCCTGTCAGAAGTCATTGTTTGGCTTCTCTCTGTGTGACTGTCACCCTAAAAATCAGGGGAGAAACAGTGTGAGCCATTGTAAAGCACTATGTGTTGGTTTATGACAATAAAGTATTTGAAATCTTGGAAAGGGATCTGTTCCTATTTTAACTTAGATATTATTATTTCTTAAAACACAAATGTTAAAAAATACCGGATTGTAAGAGGCTGTACACCATTATCATCTATAACTCCTACCACTCTTCTTTTTAAACAACTTAACAAATTTTATCGGCAGATGTAGAGTTTAGCCATGTGAGACACTCTTAACTCTTATTTTACTTTTGGTTTAAACCAGTGTTAAAATGTGAGTGCTTTTTGCTCATATGTGATATTGTGAGGAAACCAGTCTGTGGCTAAGTAAAAGTTCATTTAGACAGAAGAAAATAGAACTAGGATTAGGTAACCCGTGATTCTGGGTGGGAATCTCCCTAGACTGTGTAGCTGTCTGAGTTTGTTCCTCTCTACTTTTACTGAATTTATTTTGGGTTTTCCTATAACAAAGCATTTTAAGGCTAAGTGTATGGACCCAGTCCAGGTCCTTTCCACCTTCCATGCCAAATCCCAATTGTGACCGTAGGTAACCACTGCAGGTACGGAGGTGCTGTTTTCCAGTGTGTGGGACCCAGGTGAATTCCGGAGCATCCAAAGAGAAACAATGCAGCTGTCCGTGGCACTTGGAGAAACATCTCAGAGTCGTTGTACAGAGAGGCCTCTAGTGCCACACTCAAGTCCAGGCCAGTGATGCCAGTGTTGTAAAGGAACTCTCTCTGACCAATCCACCTTTATAAATTAATTCTGTAACTTTTTGTACATTTGGTTCGTGTTTTTGTAATAATAACGATTCAGAGGAGGCTTTGGCTCTCGGGGCTGTTTCTTCTGCGGGCTTCCTCTTGTCCTGTGTTCCTGGCACAGTGGGTGCAGGACTGGTCCGGTCACTGCGGTAACCCTGCTCATCCCTTCCCCGGTCTGCGAGGAGTGTGAGCAGTGTCCTCTGGGCTGCAGGGAGAGGTCGCTTGCGTTTCATTTCCTTCACTCTTGCCATCAGAAGAGGACAGTCTGGTGTCATTTAACAGTTAATGCAGTGGACTTACGGTTAGGGTTACTTCAAAAATAAAACTGTAGAATGAAAATATAGAAATATGTCCGCAGAAGAGCATAGATTTGTTGCTTCCCTCAAATGTATTTCACAAGCTTATACTACCATGACTACTTAGGAGGAGTTGGTTATAGCACGATGTTAGGGTTATACCTAGAAGAGCAGGGTAGATTTCATGTGCTCTTTGTGCGGATGGATCAGTCACACACACACACAACAGTGTGAACCATGGGTGCTTCTCTCTAGGAGCAGAGCATGACATGTAAAGCCCCTAGGACAAGAGGACGAGGCAGGGAGTGTCTCATCCACATTCTCCTCACACATCTGGGATCACTGCTATTTCTGACCACAGCCTGGGGCACAGGAGACTCAGCTTGATAACCCTCCGCACCTAAGTCGTGTGAAAAGACAAACCACAAGAGAGGCTATGGATTCGGGAGAAGGCAGGCATGTTTCACTGAGTTCATAGGTTCCATGTTTTCAAACTTCTGACTTTTCATCTTCAAATAATGTTAGACCTTTCACAGGCAAATAAAAATAATACAAAGAAACCTCTTAGATTCTTCACATATGTGTATTTTCCCCAATTATTAACATCTTACGTTACAAAGATCAAACACAGGATAGTAATACCGATATAGATCTTAAATAAATTTCAGATCTTATGGCTATGCTAGTCACAGCTGGATTTAAATAGTAAGTAGCTGGTTTTTGTATCAATTATAATTTTTCACAACAGTCTTTAATAACAAAGCAGTAGTTAAAAGATAGAAAAATATATATTTAGAAATCAAAGCAGAAAGGAGTGCTTCTATATAATTTTAAGTTTAAAGAAAACATGGAAATTTAAAATTATTTAAAACTAGATGATAATAAAACACTGCTATAAAAACCTTAGGGTTCAGTAAAATTAGTATTTATGTGGAGTTTTATGAAGTAAAATGTTTCTATTAGAAAAAAAAGAAGGGCTGGAAATTATTAGCTCAGCATTTAGAGCAAGAAAGACAAAAACTAAAGGCAAGAATAAGGCAAACAAGCGTCCCTAAGCCAAAGACAGCAATGGAAGAATAGAAACTCAGATAAGAGAAAATGAGAGAAAGACAAATGACCAACATATTCTCAAATCACTTTATTACAGACAAATAAAGACGACAAAATAATGGCCATGTTTGCGATCAAAATGACATGCCAACTTCAACAATATTAAATTTAAAAATGGGGACAAAACCCGTAAGGAAAGCAGAGACAGAATGATCCAGGCAAATATTGTAAACAAAGGTTTTTTTTGTTTTTGTTTTTGGTACTGGGGATTGAACTTGGGTCCTCGTGCTTGCAAAGCAGGCCACTGAAGGTTTTGTTTTCATAAACTTTAAAATAGTAGATGAAAGATATATTCTTAGAAAAATGAAAATTACTAAAACTGGGAAGAAATCAACTAGAAGGAATATCTTAAAATACCCACAGATACTCATCCAGTAGTGAAGGCTGAGCCTCCCTTATCCAAAAATCCAAAATCCAAAATGCTCCAAAATCTAAAACTTCGTGAGTTGCAAATATGATACCACAAGTAGAAAATTCTATACTTGGCCTTCTATAATGAGCTGCAGTCAAAAAGCAGGAAGGCTAAAAATATATAAGATGCCTTTGGGCTATGTGTACATGAAATATAAACTGTGTTTCAATTTCAGGCCCATCCTCGTGAGATCTCATTTTTGCATATTTTCAAATATAGCAAAATACCCTCAACGATCTGAAACCCGAAACACTTCTGGTACCAACCCTATGGGGTAAGGGACAGTCCACCAGTCATTTCCAATCTACACAAAATGAAATGGTTGGGTTAAGATGGGCTAGTTCTCCCAAATATTCAAGGGCCTTATTTATTCAACTGCATGTGCTCATAAGAAAATATTTAAGGAAAAACCAATGATCACATCAGTAGATCTGGAAAAATTCTGTACAATTCAATATCTATTTATGGTGAACATTTTCAGCAAATATGTAATAAAACTTCCTTAATTCAAGAAATCAAAATTCCTCAGGACACGATTATTATCACTGGATAATTATCACCAAAAGAATCAGACATTTTATCAATTCAAACTAATCTGTTGAATGCCTGTTGTGTACTAGCCGATATTCTTGGCAACACAGGGCATGTTAGGTGGAGACAGATGTTACAGAGTCCAATAAAGTAGCAAAGGCACACAGGAAGCTGCTGGAGCAAGGTGGATCACTGGTGTTAAATGGTCATGGCTTATAGCTAGACACACCTCAAACGCCTCAGGAACTCACCAGCAGGGCTTTGGGAAGTTTATGGGATTATGGGGGCTTCTTGTGAGGAGGTGGTTTGGTTGGAAGAGTCCATCCCTGGGGGTGTGACCTAGAAGGTTCACCTCCTCCCTGCTCTCTGCTCCTATCCTCCATGCTGTGAGTAGCTCTCTTCCGCCAGGCCCCTCTGCCATGCTGCCCTGCCCTAGAGCCAGCCAAACATGGACTGAAACCTCTATAGACTGTGAGCCAATAAACCTCTCCTTCCTTAAATTATGGGTGCCAGGTATTTTGTCCCGGCAAGGAGGGAAGTAATGAAGACACCTCACAAGTGCTTACATGATGTAAATACTCCTGTAGATGTTAAATCACTTCAATTCATTCTTCAGTAACCACCTCAGATTAAATCGCTATTAAAGCCTCATTTCATAGATGAGGAGATGCAGAGGTAAAAGTCCCCTTGCTGTAAACTGGGATCCTCCAGCCCCAGCCCTGCTTCCCACAGCTTTGCCCTTGGGAAGACTTCCCTGCAGAAGGACAGAGAGGCCCAGAAAAGGCTTTGGGGAAACTCACTGAATACGCAGATGTACTTGAAACAGTTCCTTGTACATTACACTGGCGAAAAGGTTTTGCTTAACAGACGTGTGTGAGGAGGGACTGGAGCCGCAGTTCCAAAGAAAGATGCTAGAGTGGCAGGAAATTGTAAGAATAATTGGTTTTGTTAAGATGTTTTGAGTGTATTGGAGATAGAGAGAGGGAGATAGAGTATGAAAGGAGGGAGGAAGAAAGGAAGGAAAGAGGAAAAGGAGGGAGAAACAAGGGGAAGAAACATGCAACAGACGAAGAAGGAAGAAAAAGAGGAAGCAACCCCGGAATCCGGAAGTGCTGCTGGCCCTTCCCTGAGTCACAGGTGCCTCGCTCCTCCCTCTGCCCAGCAGTGCAAAGGAAACAGAGTGAATGTCCACCCTGCGTCCTCCCAGAGCAAAACACTTCACACTGGGTCAGGGGAGGCAGAAAGGTGCTTGGTGCTTGATCTGATGGGTGTGGAGGAAACCCAGGGGCAGAACAGGTTGAGGAGGATGAGGCAGGACACGTCCAGGAGGGACTTCTCCAACCAGGGAGTCTCTGTAGGAGCCACCTTGCGTTGTGGGGGACAAGGAAGGTGGACAGGGCTGTACCGCCCATGCCCCGGACACGCCACATCCGCACTTCCCTCCACTGGGGTGGGGGTGGGGGACCTGGGGGTTCCCACAAGGAGGGGCCGGTGGGGTCTGGACCCCCAGATCAGGAGGCTTCAGTGTGAGCAGCACTGGGATGAGCGTTTGGGGCGTTGTGGGGGAGAAGCAGCCTCGTTCGATTTGCATTTCCAACAAGACTATTGCGTAATTCGTGCTGCCTGACTCTTGGAGATGATAATTGTGTAACTCTTTGTAAATGTAAATCTCAAATGTAAATGTAAACAAACGTAAACCCCAAAATGGACAGAGCTTCTAGATCAGAGTCCAAGTGTGCCAGGGAACATGAACGGGATGTTTTCAGAGCGACATCCCTCCTAGGAGGACCCCCTGGGCTGGCCGGGGGGCTCTGCCCCCCAGAAGGAGACAGGAGCCCCCAGCCTGCACCTCCAGCACCCCGTGGCCCGCCCCAGCCATCCTCAGTCCTGCCGCACTGGCTGCGCCGTGGACGCCCGTCACTAGTGCACTCGTGCCGAGTGGGCACATGTGCAAGAGACACTTCATTATTTTTCCCTCTTCTTTCCCTTCACCCCTTCCCCTTCCCTCTGTGCTAGGGTCCCCTTCCCACTGGCAAAAGATCCCCCTCCCTGTTTCTACGAGCTGTCTTTTATTTTGCTCTTTATTTATTACTTTGGGTTTCTCATGTAAGAGAATCCATGTGATAGTTAAGCTTGTATCTGTTTGATTTCACATTATGGCTTCAGGATGCATTTATCTCTTCTACAATGACTCAGATTTATCTTCCTCTGTAGCAGAGTCACTCCACTGTGTGTGAACAGCACGTTTTTTTATCTATTCATCTGTTGCTGGGAATATAAATGCTTCCAAGATTTTGCTGTAAGTTGTGCCACTGTAAACACGGGTGTGCATGGGTCACTGTGGTGCAGAGTCTAAGTCTTTCAGGAAGACACCCAGTAGAAGACTAGTTGGGTTTCATGGAGTGAGTGTGTGTGTGTGTGTGTGTGTGTGTGTGTGTGTGGTGTGTCTCCACAGTAAAAGTTAGAGGATTATTCCTCCTCACATGTAAGGCGGGATAAGTCTTACTGAGAAGTCTTACTCAGATTTTGTATTGTACCTTATTTATGGGGCAGCAGGTAAGCTGATCCAGAGGCCCCTGTGAGGAGGCACGTGGTCTGGACAGCACGATGCGGGGCCCCAGAGGATGGAGGCTGAAGCCCAGATGAGCAGTGGCAGGTGCACGACATCTGTACAGCACAGGGAAGCTGGGGACAGAACCCCCCACCTGGCACCCCCTGTGCTCCCTTCTACTCCTGAGCTACATCCCCAGCCCAAGATGCAGGAAATGTTTTAAAGGAAAATTTGATCCAGATGCTCAATTTGTTTGAAATCATGTAGCTAGTAAATGCTCTGGCTTTGAGCCTAAAGATCAGGATCACCCCATTCCATTAGTTTTGCTTCAGTATCTAGCTGTTATTAGATGTGATGACAGCTTTCGTTCATGTTTTCAGCTGTTCTGGGAACTGAAAATAGGGCGCTGAGTTTAGATCCATCTCTGTCTTCTATCCACCTCCACTGCGGTTCCCTGGAAAAGAGTTATCAGACTCGGGGACACAGCTACGTGGGAATTACCTGACAGCAAGAAGTAACACAAACTGTCAAAAGAGTGGAACGGGAAGATCTAGACATTTCCGTCCGAAAGAGAAGAAAGACATCCCCCCGCCATAAATCAAGATGTGGAAAGAAAAGAAAAAAGGGAGGGAGGGAAAAGGGAAGAGAGGAGGAAAAAATGGAAGAACGGGAGGCAGGGAGGGAAGGACAAGACAATTTTCAGTATTTAAAGGGCTAAGCATGACTGAGGGTAACTTAAATCAATGACAGAATTTACAGATTTAAAGAAACTATTTTCTTGAGATGTACACATTATGAAATTTACCCACTTAGTAAAGTTCAATATTTTCATAATTACAGTACTGTCATATAAAATTCATTTTAAAATATTAGGAACTTCGGCCGGGGATTTAGTTCAGTGGTTCTGCCACGTGCCTCCCAAGCACAAAGACCTGAGTTCAATCCCCGGTGTCCCCCCAAAAATAATAATAATAATTAGGAACTGAAAACTAGAATCTAGGAAAGGGAGTGGCTTGGAGGAAGATAAAAGATGAAAAAATACTTTTTAAAGAAAAATGGTGAGGCATCTCTGGAGAGAATATTCTTGGTACCTTTCCCTTTTGAGTAGACTTAGATGCCCAGTTGCGGAGGAGACTGAGATCCCTGTGCCCCGCATCATTTGACTTACTGTGAACGCATCACGTGGAGCTTGTCACAAGTGCGAAGTGGACCTTGTAACGTCGTGGGAAGTGGACTTCACACGGTGCTGGGACTTCTTTGGCTTTGGTTGTGTTGTCTTTCAGCATCCGGCCCAGGTCAATTACGCATGGAGTCTCCTTCTCATCTCCGGACACGCAGTCTCTGTGTCTCCTTGATTTTCGCGACCTCCACCACCCTCAGGAGCCCCGGTCAGCTGTGTTCTACGGTGCCTCTCCTCCAGGGACTGTAGCATTTGTCACAGGGTTCTGACTTGGTTCTGTCCTTGGATGAAGAATACGAAACAGATCAGTAGCCCTTCCCATCACTTCCTGATCACCATGTCAGGTAGGGTTTCAAACTCCCAAGAGACGACTTTGAATTCAAATTCATTTTCTCTCATCATGAAATCGTCTTCATGGCACATGCTAAATTCATTTGGAAACAGCCGCAGAATAACCAGGCTGAATTTCTTTCCCTCCCTTTGTACACACAGGGACCACTAGGGGGCAGCACTTGAACAAATAGAAGGAGACGTGGGTTATTCTCAAATAGTTATGAAATGAAGAAGGGACAGTAAAAATTATAAAATCATCAACTGAAAGCACAGTGAAAGACTACACAGACACTTTCAGTGTTTTCTGAATCCAGAAGCCACACCTAATGAAAGTCTGAGATCTGGCCCAGCTTCTCTTTTCTGCTTGATGGAAACCTCAGTTCCAGATCTGTTGTGTCACTGTGTCCCTGAGAATGACAGCACACACATCCTCGAGACAGGAGGTCCGAGGTGAGGGACGGTGGCGAGCAGCAGCTCAGGGAGCAGAAGACAGCCCCATCCAAGCCCACCAGTCTTTGCAGGAATCTCCTCATCTCTGACTTTACGTAGCTCCTGCCTGCATTTACCAGCAAATGGTGAATGGGAATTTTCCCTGGTCATAAGTACATTGTTCCCTGCTTCTTCAACATCTTGTCCTCATAATCCCTTGCTCATCTTCAGCTGAAACATGCACAGCCTTGATGGATATAAAGTAGAATACACACACCATGGCAGGTATGTTACATGTCTTAGTGATATAGCCTGACAACTATATGTAGCGCAGATTTCTCTAAATGTTTTAAACTATTTACCCCTGGATCATTACTCTAAGTCAATTTCATCTATGATCTAATTTTTAAAAAATTGATTGACTTGATTTTTAAGATAATTTTTGGGTTTACAGAAAAATTGAGCGCAAAGAGTTCCATGTACTTCCTCTGTGATTTGCCTTTTCCGGAATGTCATGTACATGGGATTGTACAGTACAGGAGCTTTTCAGGTTGGCTACTTTCACAAGGTTCTTCCACGTTTTCATAGGTTAATATCTCATTTCTTTTCACTGCTGAATAATAATCCACTGTGTGGAGGATCCACGGTGTGTCCACCCATTCACATTCACTTTCTTAATGACCTAATGCTTAGTAATCCTGAAGAAAGCTGCTGCAAATATTCACACGCGGGTTTTTGTGTCGGTGTGCTTTTAACTCAGTTGGAGAAATCGCTCCTAGAACAACTGCTGGATCACATAGTCAGACTGTAACAGTTGCCCAGCTGCTATCTTCTGAGGTGGCCGCAGCACCCATGGGGAGTGACAGCAATGAACCCTGCAACCTCACCAACATGGCGTGGCTTCTTGAAGGATCACACAAAACTCTACTCACTTTTTAGACAGTTGCCTTTGTTCTTTGTGGAAAGGAAAAGGGCCCCTGGGGAGTGAGATTGCAGGATTAATGATCTGTATCAGTGCTCCTGCTGCCGGGACAAAACACCTGACATCCACAGTTTAAAGAAGGAGAGCCTTCTTTGGGCTCACAATTTCAGTGAGTTCAGTCCATGGCTGGCTGTCCCAAGCTAGAAACAGCACCGTGGGAGGTCATGGCAGAGGAAATATCCTTGCATCATTGTGTCCAGAAAGCAGAGCTGAGGACAAGAACACACCCTTCCAGGTCATCTCCCAATTAGCCAGTCTTCCATCCAGGCCCCACCTTCTATCCCTATGCAGCTATAAACTCATCAGTGATTTGTCAGTGCAGCACAATGCCTTCATGACCCAATCACCTTCCGGATACCTCAGACTTCTGGGAGACATTTTAGAGGTAAAGCACAATGCTGTGCTCATTTAGATCTCATTAATCACTCTGCCTCGAAATAGTCCAAGGGGAAGAGCTGTGCTGTTCCCTTAAAGACATCCACAGAAAAACAGTGGATATGCAGCCTTGGGGTTTTCTCACATTGCTCTTGCTAAAATGACTATCTTTATAAGAAGTTCAAATCCAATGATTTTTTCACATCTCTCTCAGTTTAAAATCTGAAGCTTTCAACAATGTTACATAGCATAGTTATAGCCACACCTGACATGGATGACCATGTGTGAACACATCTGCTCACCTGTGATCTATACATCTTCCACCTGTCCAACCCCTCCACCTGCTCTATGCCAGCCAGAGCTCTGTGCCTTTTGAGAATGGTCTGGCTTTCCCACAAAGCTCATTCTGTGGTGATCTGTGATGTGTCAACCCCATCTGCTTGCTTTGTCTGCTCTTTGTCATAAGGCACTGTGACCTTTTCCTACACACTGTGGATGCAGACCTTGGTCCCATTGATTATATTCTACTTAACATCCATTGTTCTCCCACATTCTGTAACTTTGGTAGGCTTTTTAGGAGGATTAGGAGCAAGGAACGTGACATTTGGGAAGGCCACTTGGAGATCTGCTCTCCCTCCGGCCTGCTTGGGCCCATTCGTCGGGACCGGGGAGCCGCACCCTCCCCTGCCTGCTCCACCACCAGCTCCAGCAAGGAAGGTAGCCACGCAGGCGCCCCTGAAATACCCCCCCACTCTCAGACCTCCTGATTGTGCCAGTCCTTGGACCCACTCTGCAGAGGCATAGGTGGTCATAAAGGGTATTTTTCTGAGCTGCCAACTTTGAACATCTTTAAAGAAAGGGCGGGGGAAACCTGTAGTAGAACTGTGCGGAGTTCAACCCCACAGGAGGTCAGGGAACTCAATATGGGCCTTGCGGCCTGAGGTCAGTCACAGGGATCTGCCATCGGCTAGCTGAGATCAGAGGACTTGGTTCTGCACATGGCTGTGCACGTGGTATATTATGACAGCAGAGATATAATCTGAAAGAGGCCCTTCAAATTCATTTTTCTTCTTTCTTTTCCTCATTCCACTCCACAAATTCTTTTTTCTGTCCTCTTCAACCCAGTCTCTTGCTCCACCATACTATCCCTCATCTCCCTTTCTGTTCCTGCTCCTGCCCTAACTCAGACTTCTTCTTTTATCATTTTTTCTTTTTTCTTTATGTTCTTTTCTTCTGTCATTTTACCTCACTCATGGGTCAATAGTTTCAAGGGAACGTGAGTCCCTATTACTGTTAAGGGGATATATCCCTGTCCTTATTCCTGCACTCTGTCTATCCCTGTTGAATTTAATAGTTTCCTAAAGATTGTATTGTCATTCTATGTCCTCTGGCTTCACTTGAAACCTACCCCAATTCTTTCACTTATCTACTCTTGTCCTAACTCTGTCTAACCCCCCATCCTAAATGGTAAATATGCTATATTGAAAAGTTTCCTCTGGCTTCACTTGAAACCTTCTCCAATTCTTTCACTTATCTACTCTTGTCCTAACTCTGTCTAACCCCCCCATCCTAAATGGTAAAGATGCTATATTGAAAAGCGTATTCATTGCAAACATACTTTGGGCTGCTCCTTGATTTTAATTTAATTCACATGGTTTAAAGGTGACAGACTAATGACTACCACAAGTGATCAATTTGTTGTAAGTTGTGCTTGATCCTATTGTGCTGCTGATTATATCAATTGGGATAAAGGATTATGATTGATTTAATGAGTTGTTTTCTGTGATATTATGAAAATGAGAATGTCTATGAGTCATTAGAGACGCAAAAGCTAAAGTGCACTATATCAGAAAGATTTAAGTAATAACACAGAAATTAAACCAAGGATAATCCAACAACAAAAATAAAAATGAGAAAACATTTAAGCAAGACACAGAGACAGACTTCCAGTTCACCAATGGCAAACAGCAGGGCAAATGAGGATAAAAAGTCTGACAGTGAACCAGCAGGACACCCTGAACCCATAGCACAGGAGGTAACAAAGCAGATCAATCAGGCTCTAGAAAAATTCAAAACAGAAATAATTTCCAAGATAACCATAGAGATGGTGAGCAAAATGGAAGTCATGATTCCTGACTATAGAACAGAAATTGAGAAAAAAATAGATGAGCTCAGGACCATGATAGAACCCATGAAGGCCCAGCATAAGAAAGAAATGGAAACAATGAATGCCCAACAGAGGAAAGAAATGGAATCCATAAAACAGATTCAAAAAGATATCCAGGAGATTAAAAACTCTATTGAAAGTGTATGCAACAGAATTAAAGAATGCAAAGATAGAATCTCAGATATAGAAGATAGGATTGCAGTCAGTGACCGTGAAAAGAGAGGTCTCTTTAGGAGGATTGGGAGGATCATGAGGATTGGTGGCGTCCCAGATCATGGATGTGCAGATGGTGGCTCGAGCTCCCTGGTTTTCCCCTTCACACTCTCTCCTTTCCCAGTCATCCCCGGGGTCTTTAGGACATCCATGACAGGACATCACTCTCCTTACTCTGCAGAGCTGTCTTAGCCTTTCTGGGTCTCATTATCAGGCATTTACCAACATTATTTTGCCCTTCTGGCAGAATTCTGGCAGCAAAATGTGCACACACACATACATATACATTCTCCAGTAAGCAAATACTCATAACACTTTTATAGACGTAAGGCTGTCATTTCCACAGTGAAACTGATGTATTAGAGAGGAAAATATTTATAGTTCTGTTTTGTCTTGAGCAAGCACCTGTACATCCTGATAACCATCAATCATTGCTTTTACAGGAAAACAAGTACACAAAAATCAAAACAAGCCATGCTTTCCTTAAATTACCTGGTCTTGCCGAGAGATCTGTGTCAGCTCTGGGTGGGGTCTCACCTTGTGACTGGGAACACTCATTGCTTATTATATCTCCCGAGTCTTTTCTTCCATTCATCTCCTTGAAATGTCTGTGCCCATTCCTTATGTAACTATAGGCAGGTCCAAAGTATGTGGGCTTTGAAATGGACAAAGCTTAGATGGATATAACGTTGCATCTGTTACCTTTGTTCTCAGAAGTGAATTTAACAGAGAATGTAAATATCACACGACCTACTCAAGTGCAAGGAACAGCTTCCACTTCTGAAGGTACTTTTTAACTTTCACTTTCATTCCTTTCTCCATTCAGAACATTTGGGGGAACTCAGAAGGGTAATAGTGTGAAATTTCTGTGTGGCCTGGCTAGAAGTTATTTAAACAAAGTATTTGTTCTCACGATCACACTCCTTTGTAGAGTCTAAAAGAAGTTGGAAGCAGAATGGGGGTGACCAGCGTGTGGGGGAGAAGGGGGCAGCGGGTATGGGGAGAGATTGATGGCTGTGTCCCAAGCAATTTTGGGAAGCAAAATGTTCCGGTGCGCTGTTGCCTGGCAGGTGACTGTGATAGCACCCTAACGTACTGCACATTTTTAAAAACCCACAGGAAAGATTCTGAATGTCTTTACGTAAAAGAAACGACATCTGAATGTTTTCACGTAAAAGAAACGTCACGTGCTTGGAATGAGCATGATGCATTCATGTATCGAAACCTTCCTGGGGCAGGATAAATGTGTTCAACTTTCATGTATCAATTAAAATGAATAAGAGCAGCTGCACAGGGAGGGGTGGAGAGCTCTGAGACAAGAAGTTACTTGTCTAATGAACACTGGGACTTCGGGATTCTGGTAACCTGGAGATTGGCCTCTCTGCAGCGTTTCCCTGCTGGTCCTGGAGCTTGGCCCCGAGTGCAGCCTGCTCTTCAGCCTTGACCACAGCCTCCTCATCATGGCCTTGCTGGGTAGTGCACTGGTGCTAGGAGGACCCAAGACTCGCGTGGGGGCGGGGCGGGTCCCAGGGGTCTTCTCACCATCCACCAACTCCCTTTCTGCCTCCTGGGCATGCAGGCCACTCCCTGGGGGGGCTTTCCTTTCAGCATTCCCAAGGGATCAGGGCAAACTGGGGGTCGGAGCCTGAGGACACTTTGAATGTAGCTTGTTGGTGAACCCGCTTTCTGACTTCTATCCTAAGAAATTACCAATTAAAAAAATTAATGACAGAGTTCATCAGAAATGAAACAGGGAGGAGAGAGTGTGCACCTCACCGCACCTTCTTGAGTCCCCTTGGCTCCTCCGTTGCGGTGAGTTGTTCGGTGAGCACAGGCTCATGTTATGTTTATGCCCCGAAGTATAATAACACGTATAAACTTTGGTCAGCTCCCACTGTCCTGATGCAGTATGACAGACCAGGCAGCTTAAGCAACAGAAATTCATTTTCCTGCGATTCTGGAGGCAGGAATTGAGCTCAGGGTGCCACAGGTTGGTTTCCTCTGAGGCCGTGCTTCTTGCCGGGCCAACCTTTTCCCTGCATCCTCGCCTGCGCCTTCTTTGTTGGTGAATCCTGCAGACTCCTCTCTCCAATCCTCTGAGAGACGCGAGTCCTGCTGGGTTAGGGCCCAATCATGCAGCCTCACTTACCCCCCATGACCTGTTTAAAGGTAGCAACAAGATACACCCTGGAGGCTGGGGAGGAAAGACACACTGGCGGCTCAGCTCGCGACGGTCGGTTGCGGCAGCTTCCACTGACATCCGGGTTACCTCATCACGGCTGCCCTGCATCCCCTTAGTGTGAGGGTTCTGTGCTCTTCACCAGGGTTCTGTCTCCTGTCCCTTCAGCGATCTGGTGCCACTTCCTTCTTTTAAGGCTTCAAAGTTTCCTATATTGTCAGCTATGCTTTCACTTGGGTGATAAGTTTAATATATTGGCTTTTTTTCTAAAGATGATAAAGAACATTATAGAACATAGGACTTGATGTTGGACTAAGATACTCATTAATTTAAGCAACTTTACGAGAAGGAGAGAGAAAGGGGGAAACTTAGGAAATGGGATAGAAGGCTATGGATTGAAGTATGTTATTTTTTGCATATTTAAAGTGCTAGCTTTAATAAATACTGGTAATGTTTTTTGTGAAAGGAAAAGAACTCTAAAACTTATTCTATGAAGACAGCAATACTCTGATAGCAAAATCAGACAAGGACATAAAAATAAAACTATAAACTATTATTGCTGATGGACATAGATGTAAAAATTTTCAATAAAACACTAGCACACCAAATCCAGTATTACACCAACAATTACATACCCTGATCAGGTAGGATTTATCCCAAAGATGCAAGGAAAGTTTATCACATGCAAATCAATAAGTGTAATGCTACAACAGAATAAAAAAATAGACATGGTTATGTCAATAGCTGCCCTAAAGTATTCAATAAAATTCAATATCTTTTCATGACTAAAAAATCCTCAACAAATCATGTATAGCAGGAAAGTATCCCCAACCTAATGAAGGCCAAATATGACAAACCTACAGCCAACATCATACTGCATGGGGAAAAACTGAAAATACATTTTCTAAGATCAAAAACCTGATAAGGATGTCTACTTGTACCACTCTTACTCGATATGGAACTAGAAATTTAAGCCAGAGAAATTAACCATGTGAAATAAATAAAAGGCATACAAATATGAAGAAAAGGAGAAAAATTACGCCTATTTGCAGACAAGATTCTAAACTAAAGGCTCCATCAAAAGACTATGGAACTGATAAATGAAATCAGTAGAGTTGAAGGATACAAAATCCAGATACAAAAATCAATAGCATTTTACTATCCACAATGATATTGCTGAGAAAAAAATTAAGAAAGCAATCCCATTCACAATAGGTACAAAAGTAAATCACCTAGAAACAAATTTACCCATGGAAGTGAAAAATCTCTACAGTGAAAATTACAAAGCAGCCATGAAAGAGACAGAGACATAAAAAAAGAAAGACCTCCCATGTTCATTGATTAGAAGAGCCAATATTGTTAAAATGACCCTGATACCCAAAGTGTTTTACAGATTAATTTGCAATTCCTATCCAAACAGCAATGGCATTTTTTATGCAATTAGAAGAAATGTCCTAAAATTCATGTGAAACCACTGACTTAGTCAGTTTTCCTGTTGACGTGACACAATGTCCACAACCCACAACACAAATGAAGAGAACCTTAATGTGGCTCATGATAATAAAAGACACAGTCCATGGTCAGCCAGTTCCAAGACAGAAACCTTATGGGGAAAGAGCATAGCAGAAGTTGCTGTGCAGTTCCTCAGGACAGGCAGGAAAACCTCCAAAAACACATCTCCAGTGACACACCTCTTCCAGCCATGCCCAACCTTCCAACACTTAGCTATGAGCTCATCGATGAATCAATCCAGATGTGTAGACCTCCCCCATGACTCAATCACCTTCCAAAAGTCCTACTCTGGACAAATGAGAATTTCCAGGATCCCAAAAATAACAACCAAATAGAACAAACAATCCTGAGCAAAAAGAACAAGGTTAAAGGCCGGGCGTGGTGGTGCATACCTGTAATCCCAGCATTCGGGAGGCTGAGGCAGGAGGATCGCTGTGAGTTCAAGACCAGCCTGGGCTACATAGTGAGTTCCAGTTCAGTCTCAACTACATAGTGAGACCCTGTGTCAAAAAACAAAAAACAAAGTTAAAGGCATTGTAAATCTAGTTGCAAGACACTTTGCAGGACTATAGGATCCAAGAGAGCGTGGTACTGGCATTAAAGCCAAAACACACATCAGTGGACTAGAATAGAGATCCTCAAGATAAATCTATCTATCTGCAACCAACAGCTATTTGACAAAGGTGCCAAAAACATACTCTGAGGAGAGGACAGTGTCTTCAGTAGATGTTGCTGGGAAAACTGTGGAGATCAAGACAAAGAAGCCTGCAATTTGGCCTGTCTCTCGCACTGAACAGAAATCAGTTCAAATTGGATTAAAACATACATGTAAGACTGGCCGCTAGAAAACACTAGAAGAAAACAGAGAAAGTACTTCAAAATACTGGTGTAGGCAATGAGGATGCTTTGTTTTTGTTTTTGTTTTTTGGATAAGATCCCCAAAGCACAGGCAACAAATGCAAAAATAAACAAATGTATCAAACTAAGAAGCTTCTGCACATGGAAGGAAAATAGCAGAGCAAAGAGCTGACCTATAGAACAGAGAAAGCATAGCACACGGTTTGTCTGACAGAGAGTTAATCAATATCCAGGTGAAGTGCTGCAGACAAGAGGGGAGCCACAGGTTGTGGAGTGTGGGGCATCCAGGCCAGGCTGTGGGTTTGGGGTCCGTTCCTCACAGGTGCCTGGCCCACACCTGGGCTGGCTCCCGGGGAGGGGAGCAGAGGGGAGCATAGGGGAGCCGGAGTTCTCTTGACGCTGCCCCTCTGAGTCCCTCTTCTTTCTCCCCACATTCTTCCAGGGCTGCACAGACCCCACTGCCCACCCCCAGGACATCTCTGTGTCCCCAGCCTGGCCCTTCACAAGGAAGCCGCACGGCCCCAAAGCCATCAGGACCCATGCCAGCGTGCAGCACACTGGGCTCTCGGGGAGGCTGGGCGCCCCTTTCTTCCTATGTGTCGCTCTAGACAGGCTGGGAGGCGAGGTGGGTCCTGCCCCAGCCTGCACCGTGGGACTTGGGTGTTCACTGCTATGGGCAGAGGTGGGCAGGATGCAGTCCCTGGGCCTTCTCTTCAGCACTCTTTTCCCAGCAGAACAGCGTGAATATCAAAGTCCTAGGAACTGTCTGCATTTCTAATAAAAGCAACGAGTGTGCCTTTTTTTTTTTTTGTATAGGGGATCGAACTCGGGCCCTTGTGCTTGCAAGGCAGGCAGCAGAACCACTGAGCCAAACCCCCAGCCCAGTGGCTGCTTTTAATACATAATTTAAACGAACCACTTGTGGCACTGTAAACATAAACTGTAGCTAGGAGAAAGGATTTTGAATGCTCCCAACTCAAGAAATGACAACTGTTGAGGTGTCAGAAATGATACTTTAACCTGATTTGTCAGGATTACACACTGTGTACTCCTGTCAGCATTCTGTACCTACCCCCCAAATATGCACAATATTTATGTGTCAATTATAAAGAAAGGAGGCGCAGACCCGGCAAGATGGCAGGCCGGCCCCACGGCCTCATCCCTCCTCTCCCGAGTTCCCCAGTGGAGAAAGTCAGCTTCTCAGAGCTTCCTGTGCTGCCCTTTGAAAGGTGACAAAAGGTTCTCACGCGGAATGCTCACAAGTCTCCCTGAAGTTCTTGGGTGGGAAATTCCATTCAAACCAGATCATCGCGACCTTCGTATTGTGTCCTGAACCAGCGCGCTTTAATTTGTGGCAGCCAGTGCGTCGGCATCACTCCCTCTTTTCCTCCATAATTAGCTTTTGAGTTCCATAATAATTGAGTTTCATGGCCCAGGGCCCATTGAATCTCGCTGACTTCTGTCTGAAGAGGATCGGTCAGGCATCGCCAGGAGAAAAGGAGTCATCTCCATTGTGAGCCGGATCAACCATGTTCAGCAGACGTGGTGGAAGTTTAATGGTTATGTTCCTGATATTTAGAAGTCGGACTGTAATGGATGCACTATTCACACGTATCTCGGAGCTGCAAACCATTAATCTCCTTTTGAACGAATGCACCGGACCAAAGCAGTGCAATAATCCATGGCCTGTTTGGTATTTCATGCACATTTTAGTTGCTAGACAGGAATAAATCTTTCCCCACACACTTCTCCTTGACCTTAAGAGATGCGAATTGGTCCGTGTGGGAAAGGGTGACATGTTTCTAAGTGGGAGCCAGGGTGGAGTTGCTTCTGAGTGTGCTGATCCATTTCAGCTGGGTACCGATGTTTCTGCTCATATAGAAAGTCATTTGCTAGGCCTCGAAGATTCTGGAGATCAGCTGTGGTGCCAACTTGAATAAGAAGCATCTGGCAGACCGGTGAGCAGAGTTCTGGGTGCATCTGTGTGATGGGTTCACTGAGCAGGTGTGGCTGTAGCCTGGATGGAATTGACAGGTGAAGATGAAGGAAGTCTCCGTTTTGTTTCCTCCGAGGAGATCCACCATTGCCTTTGGACATCCGTTTCCAGTCTTCCAGCCCAGCCACTACTCTGCCTTCCAGTGTGGACCCCTCAGCTTCCTTGTGTGGACCCACAGAGCAAGCCCTCTGCAGCGAGATCCAGGCCTCTGACCGCCCCTCCACTCTCCCGTGTACAGACGGCGGCCCTTTTGCAGGTAGCCATTGTGCGCCTGGTTTGTAAACCCCAAAGGCGTGTGTCACATCTGTTCCTCTCTCGTGAACTCCGTTGGTGTTCCGTCTGCCTTCTTCTGAAAGACCGCAGCACGTTCCGCATTTTCTGAGTCTTTTCACCCGCCCTTGACGTGCTCTAAAGCGTCCCGACAGTGACAGCACCGCGGACCTGGGCCGGGGAACTGGCCTGCATCCCAGCTGCGTTTCTGTAGACAGGCAACTGCAGCAGGCCCGAATTCCCCGGGCTCTGTTTCCTGGCCTGTGAAGTAGGGACAGCAATCTACAGCAGAGCAGGCTGAGAGCCAGAGGTACGTTTACGTCTGCAGAAAGAGCGCGAGTTCCCGTGCGCGCTGTGGTGGTGTGACAGCCTCGTGCCACCACGTCCACCTCAGCGCCAGACTCGCACCCATCAGGGCAAAGGCCGCTTCTGTCTTCGTCCCTTTCTCTTACGTTGCGGATCACAGCGCTTTGCTATCACTTCCTCCTCCTGCTTTAGAAAGGCAGTTGTTAAAGAGATCATCAGCTGCATATAGTAACGGGAAACCTGGGCAGCTGCCAATACGTCTCTGTACCTGATACCGATTTGTAACTTGGTGGAGCTTCTTTCAAATGCATTGGAAAGAGGAAAACGCCCTTTTGACATCTCAAGTAAAGAGAGGGCATTGACAAAGCCACCAAGGGTTCCTGGAGCATCCACCTCCTCCCCTGTCGCGAGCCGGCGACGCAGAGCACTGTCCAGCAGTGTCTCAAACCTGAAAGAGCAGCGGGTGGAGATGGGGCAGAGAGAAAGGAAGGACGCCAAGACAAGAGTCTCATCACGGCGACATTCCTCCTCCTGCTTTAGAAAGGCAGTTGTTAAAGAGATCATCACCTGCATATAGTAACGGGAAACCTGGGCAGCTGCCAATACGTCTCTGTACCTGATACCGATTTGTAACTTGGTGGAGCTTCTTTCAAATGCATTGAAAAGAGGAAAACACCTTTTTGACATCTCAAGTAAAGAGAGGGCATTGACAAAGCCACCGAGGGTTCCTGGAGCATCCACCTCCTCCCCTGTCACGAGCCGGCGACACAGAGCACTGTCCAGCAGTGTCTCAAACCTAAAAGAGCAGCGGGTGGAGATGGGGCAGAGAGAAAGGAAGGACGCCAAGACAAGAGTCTGATCACGGCGACGTTTATTGCAGGCAGGCATCAGCCTTTCAAAGGAAAAAAAAAAATCACAAACTATTATGGGCTAGGATTACCATAGTAACCTCAACACCTGCTCCACAGAAATGAGAGTTCATACAGGAAAGAGAAAACAGGCTCAACAAAAACAACCACCATGGGTAGCAGTAACCCAGACAACCACACGTCTGAGGGTCAGAGACAAGAAGCTGCAACTCTCAGGAATTCCACAAAGTAAATACACCACCTTCTAAGGTGGAGGAACTTAACAAAATGGAGTTACTAAAGTTAACAACACTTGCAACTAATAGTCATGATGATTCCCACACTCCCCCAAGGTCAGATGGAAAGGTAACGTGTGTTTCCTTCCTCAGCAGTAAATAATCTTTGTGAGAGGTTGTGATTTCTATTTATCAGACAACCACACGTCTGAGGGTCAGAGACAAGAAGCTGCAACTCTCAGGAATTCCACAAAGTAAATACACCACCTTCTAAGGTGGAGGAACTTAACAAAATGGAGTTACTAAAGTTAACAACACTTGCAACTAATAATCATGATGATTCCCACACTCCCCCAAGGTCAGATGGAAAGGTAAAGTGTGTTTCCTTCCTCAGCAGTAAATAATCTTTGTGAGAGGTTGTGATTTCTATTTATAACTGGATCCTTTGCTTTCTAGTATTGTGCCCCCACAAACGTAGTAACAGGAACTTTTTCTGCCCCTGTTCCTGGGTTTAACCATCTCGGAACAGGGCTTCGTGAAAAAGTAAGTAGTAATGTGGTTGTCTGCACAGAAGACAGACTGAAGAAGCTCGGGGTAACCACAAGTGGCTGCTCGGCTCCTCCCGGACACGCGGCTCCAGCCTTGTCTCTGGATGTTCGTGATTATGATGGATGGACTGTTGGAATGAGACCACAGCAGAGAAATTCTGCTTACAGAAAACCCCATTAAGGCCCAGCCGAAATGAAGTATCTCTGTCAGACAAAGCCCCAAGAGGAGATGACTCTGAAACCAGGACAGACACAAAGGAGCTACTCAGAGGCCCCAGAAGGCCCACATCCCAGGGTGGGGCGTACTTGCACAGGGAAAGTGTTGTAGAAACCCTGTTATCTTCGGGGATCCGTGTGGTGTGTGT